ACACACACACCACACACACCACCACCACCACACACACACACACACACACACACACACACACACACACACACACACACACACACACACACACACACACACACACACACACACACACACACACACACACACACACACACACACACACACACACATGCATGTGTTACCCTGCAACGAGTCCCGATGCGCCGATGATGACGACGTAGTTGCGTGTGCCAACACCACGGTCGCCGGCACGCACATATCCGCGAAAGGTGCGCTTGCGCTCTGTCTCCGACAGCTGCGGCGCTGTTGTCTGTGTTGGTGGAGCCGGCGTGAAGGATTCCTCTGGGACAACGTGCCTGTGGAGTGACACACATGCGAGTGTTGCACGCGCACAGAGTAGGTGTTACATTGAACAACAATGTGTTGCACAACACAAAACGATTCTGCAAGGATGCAGTACCTTCATACATGCACGCACAGTACACACACACACACAGACGCAGGCACAGTATTCACACACACACACACACAGTACACGCACACACACACACACACGCACCGCTTGAATGGTGCGTTCTTGAAGTTTGGCTCAGTTGGTAGATGCAGCGTGCTCTTGCGATCTTTAAAGGCTTGGAGCGACTTGGAATTGCACAGGTACTGGCCAGGCTGCAGGTCTGTGAGGGCGATGCCGAACGGGATGCCCCAACTGCGTATCTCCTCACCAGCGCCAATGTGCTCGACGGTGAACCTACCACAGTACAACAGTGGCATGGTGTGTCAGTCGCCGCAGTAGCAGCAGCCGTTGTCGCTGTAGTGGCAGTACGAATGCACATACACAAAGCCTACACACACACACACACACATATATATATATATATATACGCACGCACGCATACACGCACACACATACACACATGCACGCACATACACACATCCACACACATACACGCACACAAACACACACACACACACAAACACGCACACACATACACGCACACACGCATACATACACACATATACTCTGCGCATGCACACATGCAAACACGCACGCCAACAGGAGGACCATCGATTGCGCAGTACCTGTGCCCTTCTGGTATGTCGTGAGTAGAGCATTCCACGATGACACGCCCTTCGACAATCAGCGGCGATCCCTGTAATGATGGCCCATGCAGCGAGATGCACATGCATGAGCGGTGACGGCAAGAAAACGCCAACACATAGCAGCAGGCTGCGCACTACACGGCGCACGCACCTTTGGAATGTAATGCAAGGCAAGTGCTGCGTTGTCTGGGGTGTCCAGCACACCCTTCAGAGCTCGGGAAGGAAGGATGCCGTTCTCCATCTGCCAAGCACCACGGCGGAACTATACATCACGGCTCGATACACACTGACCTGCGCATGCAATCGCAGGCAATCCCACCACCATCCACACACACGCACACGCACAAAAGTACATATACAGACGCACACACACATAGTCACACACACACGCACACGCGCGCACACACGCACACGCACACGCACACGCACACACGCACACGCACACGCACACGCACACGCGCACGCACACGCACACACAAAAATACATATACAGGCACACGCACACGCACACGCACACGCACACGCACACGCACACGCACACGCACAAAAGTACATATACAAACGCACACACACATAGTCACACACACACGCACCTTCTTCGCCGTGTCTGCTTGCGCTGGCTGCGGTGCTCTTGTGTCCCCACCACCATCACCCTCGTAGTGGATGGCAACATGCTCCCTCCGCTTTGCTCGCTTGCTACTCTCCATCTTGATGACTTGCGAGTTCTGGTGAATGATTTCAAGCACATTTCCGAACTGTTTATGTTTGGAGAGTGAGTGAATTCAAGTCCTTGTTGAAGGCTTCAAGGATACACGTGCTAGCTTCTAGCTCGTTGGCGTGATTCTCTCTTGCTTTCTGCTTGTCTGCGTTCTCCTTCGAACCCGCTCTGTACTCTGCTCTGTCCGCGTCTCGTCTTCCCTCCCCCCCCCCCACACACACACACATAAATGGCGTTCCCGTCAGTGCACAATCGTTGCAGTCTCCATGGCAGCGATAAGATGGCCCACCAATTGCAGCTGCTGCTGGCCTGCATGATCCTCACCAAAGTGCTGTTCTTGCTGTCGCCCCTTGTTCTCTAGCAGCTGCTGCTTTTCCCGCAGCACTCGCAGTATGATTGAACGGGCAAGTGCAAACCAGTGGAAGAATGCGTTGGCTGCACTTGCTGAGCGGTTGCGGGCCAAGGCCATGGCCAGGGAATACAGGTCGTGCTCTGGTCTGTGGAGGGCAATCACTTCGCCAAACATGTCTGGGTGACGCTCAACGAGCCACGTATTGTACCCGCCCGGGGCGATGGTGTCGCACTTGGTGCTCAGGCCAAAATCGATGACAAAGGCCTCGCTCTTGTTGTTAACGACGATGTTCTCCGCTCGCACATCACCGTGCACGTAGCCGGCGAAAAACAGACGCAACAGCTGCTCCACAGCACAGCGCAAGTGGCCATCCGTGTGGATTGTTGGCGTGCCGAGGTAGGGCGTGCGCAGGAAGCACGTGCGTTGGTCAATGTCGAGAATGCTCACGTCAATATCAGGGTGCACGAGATTCCACATCTTTACGACTTGCTCCGCGGCGGTGCTGCTGATGCGCTTGAGCACGGCGTCGTTCCATCGAACCACGTCCCCCGCAAACGTCTCAAAGTTGACAACGGCGCGGTGGCGCTCAATGGCGGTCTGCTGCTGTTCCGGACCGTCTGCTGCCAAGGACACTGTTTGTGTGTGCGTGGACCACGCCCGAGGTTCTTGTGGGGTCCATGGACTTTCTTCCAGCCCAATGGAGGACAGAGCAAACTCCTCCACCACGGCTGCCACGTCTTGCTCTTCGCTTTCCTGCTCCTGCTGCTGCTGTGGCCACGCTAGGTGCAGAGCCGGCACCGGTTTGCGAGCGTGATGGCGAAACGCGGTCGTGTACAGCTCTGCGAAGTATGCAAGCCAAGCTGGTGACAGAAGTACATCCAGAATGACGGGCACCCGCTGGACCTGTCACACGGCGCGCACAAGTGGAAAGCTTGAGACTGGTACACCTGGAGACTGCCAATTGACCTGCAAGCAGCAGAGCCAGAGTATCCTGACAAACACACATCCACAATTCCATACATGCCAGGCGTCGCAGCATTTCAACGGCTTTGCAGGTGCACGAGCGCTTACTTGAGCGTCAGAGAAGAGCTTCACACGGTAGAGCTTTGGGAAGCGACGACCACAGCTCGGCTGCTTGTGGCCGAGAACAAACGTAAACACGTCCACCGAACTGCCACACACTGTCATGGCAAAAGGGAACGGCAGCCCAACCAGCTGCTCGCGAAATCGTGGCACACAGCGCACTGCGTGCACGGCGTACTCAGACACCTGAGCCGTGGCGGCCTTCACATTCGCCTCACTACCGTTGCGTTTGAACTGGGCAATACATGACAGAGCGGAGGCAAATCAAGCACGTGGGATTAAGGGGTTAGAAAGTGACCCAGAATGGAAAATGCACGATGGTGGTGGGAGACTGTGCAGCGGGCGATCCAGGCCCAATTTGTTTGAGTGACACCCAAGCATGCACATACATCAAGTCAACAAGCACTCACAATTGCCTCGCTCATCCAATTACTCCACCAACCTCAATGAGAAAGGGGAAAAAGAAGTGATCGTCGTGGATGTCTGTCAAGGTCACGGCCATGTCGGCCCGAATAGACGTAGCGTGCTCAAAGGGCACTTGACAGAGCATGGTCAACTTGGATGATAGCGCACGCTCGCTCAAGTACCGTTGCAGGTACTTCTGAAACCTGAGCTGCAGGCGCGACTCAGGATCAGGCACAGCGAATGTGCTCCAACCTAGGCAAAGCGTCAGCTGCACGTGAGTTCCAAGAAAGCCTGGTGCAATCGCACGACAGCTGCGACTGATATGACAAGGGTGGGTGACAAGCGGCAGGTCAGGCAAACTAGGTAGACGAGGCAGTGCACATACACCTCCAAACACACGTACACAGACACACGTACACACACACACATACACACAACACATTCACATACACACGTACACACGCCGTCTGGCATGCGTCCAAACGCATCCAATGACACGCATAACGAATGGTGCCCAGAACGCCATCCTGTCAGCAAGTCATGTACCCGCAAGACCCGATGACACACCTTCATCGGAGCTGTGTATGCGCTGGTACAGGTGGCGAGCGAGCGCTGTTGTCACCTTGAAATGCTTGTGGGAGACCTCTTCATACAAGGGTGAAGCGCTGCCTGCACACTGCTGCTGTTTCTCCTTCCTTTCGTGCCGCTTGAGGGATGATGAGGCGCTGCTGGCGACCCAGCTTGGTGCGTTGTTGTTGTGCATATCTAACCCTAACAACAGTGTCAGGAGAACACAAACACAGATTTGTGCATGTTAGCATGTGGGTCTCAGATAAAACGGGTGCTTGGATGTGTGTGTGTGTGTGTTTGTGTGTGTTTGTGTGTGTGCGTGTGTGTGCGTATGTGTGTGTGTGTGTGTGGTTGTGTGTGTGTGCGTGTGTGTGTGTGTGTGTTGACATGACATACCCAGTCGCTGCTGGATTTCCGAGCTCGTGGACGGGGCTGATCTTGTTGGCAGAAGCTTGACCACATCCTGGGACACTTGGCGTATGAAGTGTTGGTCAAGGCACATGGAGTCCATGGCGTGGATTAATCGGGCCAGGAGCTCCTTGTGGGTCGGAAACCTATTTTTCAACGCTTGTCACAACTTCCATGGTCGGACCTGACATGGCGCTGTCAAGAGCTGCCGCGACATCTGCCAGAGTGACCACAGTGGAAACGATTTCCTCAGGACGTAGGTTGTTGACGAAGAAGAGCCGCTGCTCATCGTCGGAGCACTTGTGCAATGAGACACGAGCCGCTGGCGACAACGCACCGAGCACAGTGCTCTTCATGGACAAGAATGCAAGGATGCGCTCGAAGGTGCGTGCTTGCTGCAAGAGAAAAAGCAAATAACCATACAGGAGCATGAGCTGAGAGGAACGGTGGACGCAGCAACACCGTATGATGGCCCCATCAGGCAATCCAAGTGCTTGTGTTCTGCTTGTGTTTGCTTTGTGCTTTGTGCTTGTGCTTGTGCTTGTTTGTTCAGAGTTGGCGGGAAAGACTCAAATAATCATGATGAGGAAGGAAGAGAGAGAGAGAGAGAGAGAGAGAGAGAGAGAGAGACAGAGAGAGAGAGAGACAGAGAGAGAGAGAGACAGAGAGAGAGAGAGACAGACAGACAGACAGACAGACAGACAGACAGACACACACACACACACACACACACACACACACACACACACACACACACACACACACACACACACACACACACACACACAGAACGGCTTCCACACCTCCGCGAGGAGGAAGGTTCAATGTCTGGAGAGCACTCGCACTCACACTCGCAAGTACCACGGTGTGGTATATATTCCCCTCACGAACGAACCTTGCCTGACAACACCATCGCCCCTGCTTGTGTGTTTCTGGTGCTCGTTGGATCCTGGGCCTCCTGCTCCCGGAACCACTCACAAGGGACTGACAACAGGACAACAACAACAACAAGACAACAGGACAACAACGCAGCAAATGCACTGAGCGAAGAATGGAAGAGAGAGCGACGGCGTGCGAGCGTGCGATGAGGGAGGCTGGCGGCTCGGGCTTTTTCGCGGCAAACCTTCATTCTCCTGCAATAATCAACAGCACGAAGAGACAGACGCGCTGTCTCGCTGTGCATGTTCGTTCTCAGACGGCAGCACAAACACTTACCTCATCCACGCCATCTTCAGCGTTTGTGCGCGCGTCGCCATTGGTGGCTGAAGCGGCAGCAGCCTCGGTGCGTGGGTTCAGGGACATGTCACAAGCGTTACAAACGGAAGCGTCTTCTTAGCGTGGTTTGAGTTTCCCGCGAAAATTTACGTTGAGAGAATGTCGCTAAATCAGCATGCAATCATCCGGAACGAAACAAAAGTACAGGACAGTCATTGAAGAACACCACCACTACAACGACCAACACCCAACAATGCTCCCTGTTGTTGTGCTTGCACGCCAGCGCTGCCGACAGCGGTGCCTGTTGCTGGCAACGGAAGCAGCGGAAGCAGCGGCAGCGGCAGCAGCAGCAGCGCAATGCCAGCGGCGCGGAGCAACAGCGCGGCGCACTCCGCTCGCAGGTGTGCTTGCAACTAGGAGGTGGAAGAGCAGCCGCTCCTCGTCAGATTCACACTCTGCACCACGAGCAGGAACAACAACAGCGGGCGCCGCCAGTGATCGCGCACGCGTACTGGTACTTCAGCCCCACTTCCATCACTACCGCCACCGATCTCGCCGACACCCGCTGTTGCAGCTTGACGAGGCCGTAGCGTTGGCATCGGCAACCCCAAGCCTGCAGCCAACCGCGGCACTCCTGGTGCCGGTGCGTGACGTTGCACACGACGTCTTCTTCACGCGCGGCAAGATGGAGGAGATGACGGCCATTGTTGAAGCGCACAGCGCTGCCGCGGTGGCTGATGACGATGCTGAGCACGATGGCAATTGCGGGGCAGGCGTCGCGGACGACGACGACCTGAGCTTCCTTGAGGGGCATGTGGCGCGCAAGGATGACCCAGCTCGCCGCCGTGTGGATGCGGTGTTTGTCAACACGCTGGCGCTCACGCCTCGCCAGCAGCTGGCGCTGGAGGAGGCGTGGGGCGTGCCCGTGCTGGACAGGTTTCGTGTGATCTTGGACATCTTCCGCGCACGTGCGTCGACGCGCGAGGCGAAGCTGCAGGTTGAGCTGGCGCAGATTCCGTACGCACGCGCGCGGCTGTCCACCACCTTCCGCGCCCTTCCCGGCGACACTTTCGGCCTTGGTGCTGCGGCGACGCTGTTTGACCACCAGCACGGGCACGGCGAGCGGCAGCGTGGCGGACAGCATGCGGTGAGTGGAGCTGGGGAGACGCCACTTGAGAAGGAGAAGCGGCGCTTGAACATGCGGCAAAAGCGCATCAAACAGGAGCTGGCGGAGATCAAGAAGAGGCGCGCAGAGATGCACAAGCGCACGCACGTCACGCACAGCTCGGAGCATGTCGTTGCCAGCGATGAAGGCGTTGACGGTGATAGAGGACGGTTGCTGGTCGATGATGCAGACTCGGGTCGCGATGGTGGCGAGATGCACTTTGACGCCTTGATGGACGACTTGCAAGGAGCGACAAGCAAGCGGCGACATGCGAAGGCGAAGGCGAAGGGAGAAAAGCGAAGAGCAGAGCAGCCGCACAGCACCAGCAGCAACAACAACGGCAGCAGTGGTGGAGGCGGCGGTGGCGGTGGCGCACACCGCACGGGCCTGCCTGTTGTTGCCGTCGTGGGCTACACAAACGCAGGCAAGACGGCGCTTGTGCAGGCGCTGTCTGGCGCAGGTGATCTCACGCCACGCGACATGCTGTTTGCAACACTGGACACGGCTGCGCGGGTGGGCCGCCTGCCAGGAGGGCTTGAGGCCATTTTCGTGGACACAGTGGGCTTTGTGTCGGATCTTCCACACCAGCTGGTGGAGGCGTTTATGTCCACTTTGGAGGAGGTGGCGTACGCGGACCTCATCGTCCACGTGACAGACAGCACAGACCCAGACCGGCTCGACCAGCAGGTGTGCGTGCTGGACGTTCTATCCTCTGACCTTCATCTGGATCCCGCGCTCTTGCGCAACCGCATTCAAGTCAACTCCAAGGCTGACATCCTCCAACAGCAACAGCGACGACAGCAACAGCAGCAACAGCAACAGCAGCTGGGTGGGGTGGAGGGCGTGGCTGAGACTAGCTCGCCAGAAACAACAGCAACAGCACCAACAGCACCAACAGCACCAACGGCACCAACGGCACCAAGGGCAGAGCGAGGGGGCTTGCCGCCGCCGCCGCATGTGTTTGCGTATGACTGGCGGGCGAACATTCGAGCTGGGGACGTGGCTGTGCTGAACGAGGCGTGCGGATACTTCAGCCAGCAGTACCAGCGACTGGTGGCGCAGGTGGAGGGCACGGGTGACGGCTGCCAT